TGATTTTTAGTAACTGATAATTATTGACATTAAAAAGACCCATTAAAAGGTGATTTACTACTAAATTTTAATGTTTACATTGTTTATTCAATATTTCAATAGAAATGAAAAGTATTAAGCTAATTATATAAATAATCAAAGGTTTCTGGGGTACTGATCTCACATAGTCAGGTAGAGCTTGACACCAGTTATAAATAACACAGTGAGGTACCTGACAACCACATTCTTTATTAGGTTTGCCTTAATTAATGATGGTAGAATACAGAACAGATTTTTATTATTTCCTAGAAATGTGCATAGATATTTTTATTATTTTATCTCTTAACCAGTTTTAAATAGCAGTAATATTCTTATTTACCAAAAGAAGAAAATAAATGTCTAATATCAAGGCCTATGTAAGAATGTAAATATGACTAAATGTAACGAAAGGACACAAAATAGTAAGGATGACATATGCCACTTCCAGGCCCAATAAATGAAGAGTTGTGGATTCCACATACCAAAATAAAAATGATTCCCTAATTTTTTCTTAAGACATAATTCTGGCATAGAAATTTTCATATATTTATTTATCTAAATTTTTCCAAATTGCTAAATCAATAATCAGAACAACTTGATTCATCTATATGAATAGCTTCAATAGCTATTCAATAGCTTCAATCCTATTTCTAATTCAAGACAAGTAACCATGAGGTTAAGAAATTACAGTAATGTCTCGACTACCTGGATAAAAAAAAAAAAGTAGCAAGAGTTAGTTTTTGACATCTGTTTTATAACATTAAAAACAAGAATACTTAGGGATATTTATAAAACATTTAGATTTTATAGCTGAGACCTAATTTGTGTATATAGTCAAGTAGTATAAAGTCCTAATTCATGTTCTACTGATATCACCAGTTCAGGAATTAATAAAACTAGTAAAATCAAAGACTATCAAAATGATTTAACTGCATTATATCTGAAGTTGTACAGAAATATAAAATAAAACCCCTTTTCAACTTTAGCAACGCAGTAGAGGCAAAATAACACTTTGTAATAATATATCCTTTTCAAGTTTATATTGCAGTTACAAAAACAATGACTTGGGGCATATCAGACTCTATGTAATAATAACTAGTTTCTGACGATCAAGAAATACACTGAAAGATGAATGTCAAGAAGCCATTACTACTGCATAAAATATTTTACCATTGGGAGGCTTTAAAATGCAAGATAAATCACCTGTACCATTTCTAAAGATACCAGCTATCAGAACCATCGGTTCTGGATTCTAAACTGTGATCACAGCTCTTCACGGACTTTATAATCTGACAACAGCTTACAGTTCTAAACATGTCAAAATAGACAGAATACCACACAGCAGAGCTGTTGACATTTGTTAAGGACTAACATAATTAGGATCAAAAAGGTACAATTTCTAATTTTCATGGTGAAAACACAAGGCAAAAATTCTATTATCACTATTCACCATTTACTAAGCATGCTCTCTATTCCTATCTAACAAAAATAACTTTTTAGAAGATAGAAATTATATATAAAATATCAGATGTCTGAGATGTTCCTATACTATTTTTTATTTTTAAAAGAAGCCAAATTATATATGATGAATATACTTACCTACCTGCTCAGTATAGTACAATGAATGTTCTGTGCATGCACAGGCTAACAACACAAAAAGTAAGAAATTCTTCAATTGACTCTGAGTTTCCCAAATATGGTGTGTGTGACTAACAGCTGAGAGGAAATGCAACTGAAACTGTCTGCTGGAAATCCATTAAAATCTAGGCACAGAAAAATGACTGGGTGACAGTATAGTTGGATGTGTAAATTTATGCAGGAATGTAGCCAAATTTTTGGCAATTCTCTCTTGGTCTTAGATTTATTAACAATGGACCTTTCTTTTTCAGTTGTAATGTTATATTTAAAGACATCAGTTGAATTGGAGGACCTGCCTAGTCTTTAAAACAAATAGGCTTAAGGCTTGGATTTACAAAGGCGTAGAATTTCAAATAATATAAACAAAAATTTGCACAAAAAATTGTATGTTCCACAAAAACTGCCATATGCAACTCTCAAAAATCATTACCTTAGAAAAAATAAGCATACTATTTTGCATTTCATTCTACATTTGCCTTTGAATATATTATTTTTTATTTTTTCTGCAAAAACAGTTAATTTGGATCATTATGTTCTCAAAAAGGAGGTTTTTTTTATAGAATTCATACTTTAAAGCATATACTTTTAATACACTACTTCACAGTGTTTTCTACTTCACAGATTACTTTTAGTATTTGCTTGTTCTTAGGATAAAATTCTGTACTTAACTCCTTTACAAATCATTTAATAAACACATTTGATCCTAGTCCCTTTGTACTTGCCCCCTTCTAAGTCCTCAATGCTATGCAATGTTATATCAAAAATAAAAGCATGGTATTTTTTCTTCAAGAATTTATAATGCAATTTGAGTATAGGTTAAACAAATGTATTCACTCAAAGGTACAAATATCCCATAACCAGCTTTAATTGGTGTGACAATACAAAATTAAGTTGTTAGACATTTTGAAGAAAAAATACCGTCAGTTTTATAAGTGAACAATAGTAACAGGTAAAACTGACAGCATTTTGCAATTTAGGGAGTGAGTCTGATAAAATTCACTGAATTCACAGAACATCCCATGAGGTCCCATAAGTATGTTTTCCCATTTTATGGATGTGAACGAAATTTACAAACTAAGTAGTAGAGCTAAGATTCAAATTCTCACAGCTAAATCAAAGAGGCCACTGGATCAAATTCTCACAGCTAAATCAAAGCGGCCACTGGATTTGTAAGTTTCACATTTTTCACATAAGTAATCTAATTCGATCATTATAACAACTGTTACATAATAAATAGCAGCTAATATTCATTCAGTACATATTATGTGCCAGGCTCTGTTCTACACTATATTAATTCATTCACTGCACATAAAACCCTGTAAGGAAGGGTTCTATTATTATCCCATTTTACAAACTTAAAAACAAAAACTGAGGGTCAGAGAAAACAGGGAAAGTGTCCAAAATCACACAGCTAGCAGGTATGGGAATCAGAATTCAAATCCACAGCATCTGATTCCAGTGCCAGTGATGTTCTTCATCAGCTCTCTCATAGGTAGGTTAACAGACAGCAGGTTAAGAAACTTGCCCAAAGTCACAAGGAAAAAAAAATTGAAAGAACGAGAAACCTGTCCTCTAACTCTTCACCCTAGCTACTTTTCCTTAATGTGGAATAATTATAACCATTAAATCCAGAAGGGGCATGGATGTTTTGTGCGTAGGTGGTTCTCTGAAGCAGAGTGTGAGTAGGTGAGCACCCTCAACACTGAGGGGCAGGGTGGGCAGGAAGGAAAAAAAAAAAAACCCATCAGAATAGAGAAAACTTCTCTTCCATAAATTGAAGGCAGAAGAGAGTAAAATGTATGTGAACAGTTCCAAGTGTATTTGTCATTTTGATGTCGGGAATATGAATTGGGATAGGTGAAGAGGGATGACTCTAATTAAGGAAGTTAGTAAAAACTGAAGCACTATACTGATTTGTTTTGAGAGAAAATGTAATGCCACTAACAGATTTGGAACAGGTGTTATAATGCCCCCAAGAGAAGTGATGCCCACATCACTGCCAAAAGCACCTAGCACACAGGAGAAAACAATATAAGCACTGAAAGAATCTGACTACATATTTTCATTTCTCTTTTTCTTTTTTTATTTATTAAAATGTCATTTATAGTTTAGCAACTCCTTTTCACTGTCAAAACATTCCTGTGGAGTACAGACCACGATGGGAGCTTACTTAGGGTGACATGCTTCTCATTAGTTTCCATACCATGATTCCATGGTGCTGGTTATTTCAACATAGAGATCTTCCTTAGAATCATTAAAATCAGATAAAGGAAATTACAACAAATGCCATTCAAATAAATAAGCTGAAATGCCAACTTAAACCTAAAATATATGTTAAAAGTAGAATTTGCAATAAATATAGAAAACCAATCACAGCAGGGACCAAAAGCAATGATGCCAGGACTAAGAAGAAGCACTTTTGAAAAGGCATATTAAATGAGGAAAACTAACCCTAATGGAATTTCTTCTCTCATTACTTAAAATAAACCAGGTCACCGAGATGGGTTTACACTATGGTATTTTGTTCATTTTAATTTCATTTTTATTTCATCAAACCATAAATTCCCATGGAAATACCTCAGACACGTGTCCACAATAATTGGAATGTCTATCATTGCAGTATAAGTACTTTTACATGAGTTCAACAAAATAAAAAGAATGTAGTGAGATCCCTCCAAGTTTTTTGCTTATGTCAACAGCTATTTTATGAGTATGAATTATCTCTGTGGCTATAAACTGCATGTGTAAAATACATTACATGAGTCTGTGTAAAGCCTTAACGCAGAAGACCAAGTAAAGGTCTGAACTGCACACAGAAACATCAAAATCAAGCTAAACTTCCTAGAATATAGCAATCATAAATTTTTTTCTTCTCAAAGCCATTACTGTTAAATATACCTTGATGAATTAAGTTCAAGTGTAACTACAATTGAAACATATGATTCAACTGAGCTGTGACCTATTTTTCATCTCAAAAGCAAAAGGGAATTATGACAGTTGTGAGACTTACATTTTTCCATTCAAGGGTACTTCTAAAAGTTATTTTACACTAGAGCTAAAAGCAAAGTGCACTTGAGTGACAATTTTCTTCAAAGTGTAATTATTCATGCTACTGCTCACAGGACAAAATTTTAATAACGATTTATTAAATAATAGTTATATTTACTCATTTATTTTTAAACTGTACAGACCAAGAGGCATTCAGGAAGGAAATAATCTTAATATGTAACATGATACCTAAGTCTAAAATTTAATTATAACTACATAACATATTTACATACAACAGAATCAACAAGCAACACGACAAACACAAAATTAACATATATGTGTTTAAAAATACCCACCCCTAGCAGAAAGCTTTTTGGTGTTGATAATTTTGGCAGCATATTCTTGTCCAGTAGGGATTTTCATACATCTTCTCACCACTGAGAATGCCCCCCTGGAAACCAATAATTAGCAAGTCATCAATATGATCAGATCTTCCATTAAAAATTTACAAAATCTGCGCATTTTTATTGATTTTAGTGAACTGTCAAATTATCAGTGTACTACAGTAATATCCAGAAAATGAGAAATTCTTTCTGAAAACCCAGGCCTTCTTTAATGTTGAAGAATAAATTTTATTTCACTGGGAACACGCATTATTAATCAACAAAATGAAAGGAACTGCCAATTATGACTGCTCTTGTTTGCACACGAAATTTGACAACATTTTACAATTCACAGCACCAAATGCTACGAGAAAAACCCTGCAAAGAACAGAGCTGAGGAGGAGCAGCAAAAATCTGCTGCCTATTTATTTTAGTGGGGAAAAACAATTAGTGTGGCTCCAAGTAAGTAAACACAATGATTATTTTCATTAAAATACAAATCTTGAGCACATTTGTGGGGTTTAACAAATACTGGTATGGTTGGTCCTGTTTGGGCTGGGGGAAGGGAGAGATTTGAATTAAGCTGCTCTTCCGACATATTCTCTCCATGTTTTAACAGTAGACAATATATAAATACAATTTTCATTACATTAGAAAATATTAACATTTCCTGTAATTCAACTGTACAAGCCAACAACACACACATAAACGCACGCACCCCTTTCATAAGTAACAGTCGAAACTAGCAATAGAGGAATTGGGCTTGGGTTTGATGCCACATAAATCAGCATTCATGGCTCAGCCCCTAAGTCCTCGGTAGGTCTCCTGTCTCCTTCCTTAACATCTGCAGGTAGTTTTGCCAGGGGGGTACAGGAGGTGGTTTAATACAACGCCAGGCTTCCCTTGGGAAGCGCTCTCCCAGTTTCCAGAGGGCTTTTCCGCTGCCTGTATAAATAAATCCTCCGAGAACGCAAAGGTGCACGCGTAAATCCCAGGAAGAATGCAGCCGAGAGAGCAACCCAGCGCAAAGAATGACAGTGGATATGGGCCAGGGGGCTGGGTTCTGTTAGGTGGCCCTTTTCCTGGACAGAACAACTACTCGATGCGAAACAGACTCTACGCCAAGTTGAACTTTCGGCATCGATAAACATGGCACCGTCTGGGGCGGCGAGTTCTCCTCCGAACGTGGGTCGCCCCGCCGACACGCCGGCTACCAGGCGGCATCTCTATTTACCGAAAACATGATCTATGTTGCATTTTACATGGGTTCCAGTCTCCTTGCCAGACACACACACACGCGCTCACGCATGCACACTTGCGGGGATGACAGCTACAACTGCAGAGACCATAAATTCACCAAGTCCCCAGAGCGGGAGGGCCGGGGAGCGGGGAGGTGGGGTCGGGTCCTGGCCCGTCGGTGCTGCTCCCCTCACCGAGACGGCGCCTCCGAACCCGGGGCCCCCTCCCTCCCGTCCGCCGTCTCCCGGACTCCCTCGCCCACCTCTGAGGCCGGTGGGCCGGGGCCCCCGACCCGCCCTCTGCCGGAAAGGGGACGCGGGGATGCCGAGCAGAGGCGCTTACTTTCCGAGCTCCTCGAAGAGCTGGTACTCGTCCGTGAACCTGGTGCAGGTGGTGGTCGAAGCCATCCTCGGTCCGGGCTGCGCCCCGGCTGGAGAGCGACGGCGAGAGCGAGCAGACGCGCGGCTGAGCCCGGGACTGGCCCCGCGGCGCTGTCACCCAGGGCCGCCTCACTTTCCTCGTCCGAAAGTAGCTCGCCCGCGAGGGAGTGCGCGCAGGGGCGGGGCGGCCGGGCACGGCCAGACAGGGTGGCGTGGGGTCCCCTCCCCACGGGCCGCCGCCTCCTGCGGGCCCGGCTTCCTCCTCCTCCTCAGGGCGCGCCGCCCGCCCTCTGCCAGCCCCTCTCCCCGACGCAGGGCGAAGTACTCCAGGAGCGGGGCCGGGGCGGGCAGGACAGCCGGGCGCGGGGCAAGTGGCTAGCGGTTGCGAAACGAGCCGCGCCGGGGCCGGAGCGGGCGAGCGGAGGGCGGGATCCGAGGGGGCGGAGGCGGAGAGCCGAGGCCGAGGCCGCGAGCCGCGAGCGGACCGCGCGAGCCCGGCGGCAGCTGGCGGCAGGCGCAGCGCGGGGCGCGCCGGGCTCGGCGAGCGTGCGCGCCCGGGCGGCCTCCCTCGGGCCGGCAGCGGCGGCCTCGCTCGGCACTCCGCGGCTCCCAGACGGCGGCGAGCGCGCGCCCGGCCCGGCGAAGCCTCGCCCGCCGGCCCCCGCGTCTCCTCCCCCGGCGCCTCCCCGCGCTCCTCCGCGCCGCGGCCCCGGCGCGAAGCCCCCTCCTCGCGGGCACACCCCCTCCAGCGACGCCGGCCGCGGCCCTCCGCCGCCCGCCCCCGCCGCGGCCTCGCGGGCGGGCAGCCCGGCCGGGGGGAAGCCAGGCGGACGGCGGGGTGTGCGAGGGGAAACCTGGGGCGGCTTAGGCGCGAGGCGGGACATCAAAATGACCGGTCTAGACCCGCAGAAAGGAGCCTGCCCGGCTCCGGGGCTGACCGAGCGGGAAGGCGCGGGGCGCTTCGTGGACGGCCCTAGGGACCCCACGCCCGGCTTGAGGCGCCGGGCACTGGGGACCGCGCCGGGGACCTCTCCGGCCGCAGCGGCCGGGGAGCAGAGCGAGGGGCAGCCCCTTCATCTCGGCGCCGCTCGCTGTGGACGCGGCAGGGGCGGATGTGGGCAGTCGCGGCTCCCAGAGAAGGGTCCCCTCCCGCAGCCCGCGGCGGCCGTCGGAACCGCGCAGCCGAGGCCGCGTCCGCCGGGCGCGGGTTTCCCTCCTCAGGGCCACACCTCACTTCAGCTGGGACTGCCCCTCCGGGTCCCCCTCCCCGCCGCGCTGCTGCCCGGGCTGGGGGCTTAGACTCGGGCAGTCCCCAGGGGCTTCGGCTTTGGCATTGAACTGACAGAACGAAAGCAAAAACTCCGCCACTCGGCCACACCTTCCCATCTCCTCAGAGTAACTCCCGTGTAACCTCGGTCAGTGCTGATAGTAAGGCGGGTTCTCGCGAGATTTCCCGCCCGGGCTGCGGGGGCGGGGTAGTAGGGAGGCTGGGTGTCGGTCACGCGACCCGGTGGGGGCTGACGTCACTTGCATCACATGAACGTGTCTAGCCTGTTTCGCTTTGCAAAGGGAGAAAAAGAAAAGGAGAGGTCGTGTGTGCTCTGCTTGCGGGCGGAGAGACCCGGCCAGATAGTGGCCTTGAAGTCTACCCCGTAAATGACTCTCGGAAAAGCCACTTCACCATAAGAATCTGCCCTGCTCATTAGCATATCTGCCATTGTTTTCAGTACACAGGAGAAAACAGAATGATGCATTACCTTTAAAATAGATACATTTTTTGCCGATCGCTGGAACAACTTCTGGGCCTTCCTTTCATTCTAGGTCTTTAATAAACTGTGTGATTGCAAATTTAGACGCAGACCGAAAACAAAAGTGTTATGAAGAGTCTTTTTCAAATTCCTGCCTTTTGTTCTACAGCACAGCAGGGAACCCTAAAAACCTTACAGTCTTCTGCAGATTGGCAAGGTGTTTAATTACATCATGGACTTAGAATTGCACAGCTGAAAAATGAAAGATAACTTGCAGTAAAGGAGAATCTGAGATTGAATGGCATCGTTGCTTGCTCTCAGAGACTATTAATTAATAAATTACTTTGCTAATAGTCACACATAATCCTAATTCCCTACTTTCCTGATTTGGGAAAGCCATTCTTTTGACTGAGTTTTACTGAAGTACTGAAAATGTTCATAAATTTTAACGCTTATTATGGCAAAATTATACGTATTTAATATTTTGACTCACTGCCATGAAAAACAAGAATAACTTTGTGTAAAATGTAGTGATACAGAAAAAGATACCAAAAACTATGTAAAAGAAACATGGAGTCTAACTATTATAATTGGGCTATAAATGAAAATAAAACAATTTGTTCTTGACTAAAGATTTTTAATATATATCTTAAATATTTAGTAATATGGCTTCCAGTTATAATGAACTAATATTCTTTCCTGAATCTAAAAATGAAACAAAAAATAAAATTAAAACAATAAATAACAGTAATATAAAATTTTACAACTGGGAAGAAAATGTTTTTTAAATATGCAAGTAATGAAATCTAAGTACAGTATTTATCTCAGTTATTTAAACTACCAATAATTGTAAATGGTCATGATAATTGTACAGTACAATAAAGGAAGCATAACTGAGTTTTAATTCTGATGTATTATTAGACAATAAACATATATTTTTTATGTGAACACTGCTTCATCTACATATGCTCTGTTCTTTGATCTTTTGTATTAATTAAAATATTTTTCTTATTTAAACAAATATTTGCAGTTATTTCTAAAGTTTGAACCTCAAGTTTGAATCTCAAGACAGTAATCAGGTCAAAGAAATTTTTATTTAGTTCCATTTCAACGTTATTTCTATAAAATAGAGTTAAGTAGAAAAAGATGTCCATAAACAGAATAACACTGGATATTATTCTTTGGTTTAGTACCAAATGTATTTACATTTTATCAGACATACTTAACGAATTGATACCATGAACAAAAGGGCAGGGAGACAAAGAGGAGTTAGTAAAGAAAAAAATATTCATTAAATATGTTGAAGATATTAAGGTAGACTTATTAAAAGAGGACAGTAGGGATAGGGACTATGGCAACCCAGGCTTGCAGTAGAGGAGAGAGATTGGACTCTGCTCTCAAGGACAACTGGCACAGAAAGGACAACTGGGGACTTGGATAAACTGAACAGGGTGGGATTTAGTGGATATACAATTGTTAATACTAAGTATTTTCTTTCTCTCTCTGACTACTTGGAATTTAAAAATTCCAAGACTTCAGTAGTCTCAGAAGGGACAAGTTTCTAATACTTAGGTTAACAAAGACATAGTAACATTCATTGATTTCTCTTGCTATGATGTTACAAGATAAGAAACAATGAAGAGATAATGTTATCTCTATAGCTCCCAAAGTGCAAAATCCATCAGTAATAAGTGGATTCCTGTAAGAAATGGAGCAGGGGCTGTATTGTAGACAGTCTATACTGCAGATTTGGAGACAAGGGGAAAAGAGCAACTTGCTGTTGCATTTTCCAGTTAATCTTTCCAAGCTACGATAACTTAACCATATAAAGCCAAGCAGATATAATCTACTAATGAACAGGTAATCTATTCACCTGACCATCCATTAGTGAAAGATGGATTTGCAGATAAGGAAATTAACCATTCAAAAAACAAAAGCTGCTAATAGATAATGTTTTCTTCATTTCATCAGGTGCTAAAAGAATTAATTTTTTTTCCTAAAAATAAAAATAAATGTGTAAATAAGACAATAAGTGATATTCACACAATGAAGAAGTGGCATTTTTCTGTTAACTTCCAAGTATATGGGTTAGCCAACTTGATCCTCCATGAAGATACGTGGGTACCTAACACTCTGCTGAAAGCATTGTAGTAAGAAATTAGGTTAAGATGTATAAATTGAAATAATTGTATAAAAGATTGTGGAGTCATTAAAAAATCGAAGAAAAAAAGTTAGCAGATTTTGACTCTTCTTATGTATATCCATAGTGATCGTCACTGAGTTTCAAGTGTTGTTGCTTTTGCAACAATTATCACCCTGTACTGTAATCAGACCACCAGAACCTTCTTGACAGGAACTGTCATTCTGTCCTCCCATTACAACACTAGCACAGGGTTTTTGCAAAAATAGGTGCTCAAAAATACCTTTGAAAAAACTGAATATCGTCAATCTTTGTCTTGCAAAATATTTTAAGTGCCTAATCTACAATAGAGGGTTAATGAAGTCTCTTTGTTGCTATATTTAATAAATCCTTTGTAATCCTTAAGTAAGTTGACTTCTCTGTATCATTTCATACTCTTGACCTGAAATTCTGTTGATTTCCGTGTCTGATAGCACATTCTTAGCTCCTCGCCCACACCCACAGCATTTCTGCTTCCTCTTTTCTTCAGTATCATTCCTGAGCACTTTTTCCTCTGCCTTGTGGTAAATGGCAATGCTTTCAGGATTCTGTCTTAGGTTGCTCTTTTTCTTATTTTACATACCTTTCCTAGGCTACTTTAATAACTCTCACTGTCTTATTATGTGTCTTAAATTTAGCTCTGTAAATGTAGACCATGAGACAAGAATGTATAGAAAAGGGGTACATTGAAGCAGTGATCCCAGGGACAGAGATAATAGTAAAGGAAAAAATCATTCAATGACACTTGTTAAAGCATGGGAAAGCAGACCTTATTCAGTCAGGACTATCTCACTAGGTACAGAGAGAACTGCAATAGGGTTTTGCAGTAGGGGAGAGAGATTGGACTCAACTCCAAATACAAAGAAAAGAGGGAATTTATAGCCAAAGACAGGAGTGGGGGAGTGAGGAGAGGCAGGTGGATGGAAAATTACTCCCTAAGAGGAGACATCAAGGGTAAGGAAGTATTCTGGCCAAATTACCCTAATACATTCCTGTTGAAGTCAGGCTGGAAAATTCTGGATAAAACAACTTAGCAGGTGTAGGGGGCAAGAGAAAATTTCCCCTTTTCCCTCTGAAGGTTCCCTGAAAATCAACTCACAAAAGGCAGATTAATTGGAGAAAAAGCATACAAACTTTATGAGCCTTCAGAACAAAGATGTAAAGATACAGAGAAAATTGTCTATTTTTATCCCTACGTCCAACAGAGTATGGACAGCCATGGAGAAATATGATTGGACAAAAAAGGGTAAGATCTAATGCTAATAAACTGAGTGGGGAAACCCAGCAAGGCTGTCTATCTAGATTGTTCTTGGCCTCTCTAAACATGCATTCCTTCCTTCTGGGCATGGGGGAGGATCCTCTCTGGAATGGGGGTATTATGGCCTACAGTCAAACAAGGTGGGTCAGATAGTTTCTTTATGGCCACTTTTAACGCAGAAAGTTAGAGTAATATTTTTAGGTTTTATGGCTGGCTTTGGTGCAAAGGGATTCTGGTTTTTATAACCCACCTTGGGGACCAGGGATTCTAGTTTCCATGGCTAGCCTTGGGGGAGAATGAGACTGAGAGACAGAGGGCAGGAGAAAGTCAGAGAAAAGCCTTTTGCTTCTGAGGCTTCTTCTAAGGCCTTCATTTTAGGATATTATTTTCTAAGACCCAACATGGGATTCTTGCTAACGCTGGGCTGATGCCAAGATGGATGTGAAAGTCCAGAGATCAAAGGTAGGGAAGATGATTGAGAGGAGTCTAATTGAAATTTGGTCAAGGAGAGACTCTTTGTCAGTAAGCAGATAGAAGAAATAGGACAAAAACAGAAAGCAAAGGAGCATGT